TATTTGAAAAAACGAGCTTGAAAAAATCAATCGAAAAAAATCCAACATATTAAAGCAGTAGTAAAGATCCATAACGTTTTTTTTTTTTTTTAACACGCATTTTTTTATGTAATAATTCGATTCCAATAAAGTATATTTGAAATTTTTGTTACACCTCCGATACACCTCTGTTACATCTCTATTACAGAGCTAAAGCTTGTTGAATGTAAATTTTTCTCCGATACACCTCTGTTACATCCCTATTACAGAGCTAAAGCTTGTTGAATGTAAATTTTTCTCAGAATGTGTAGTTTGTCATCTAGTTTTATACAACATATTGTGTTGAATAAAGACAAATAAATATTTTTCCATCAAGTTAAAAAATATGTATTTATTTTCAACATTTTTTCAAAATTTTCTCAAAAAAGTTACTGGACTTTATTGCTATGTTGAACTGTCATCAAGTTTTAAGCTAATGGGTGGAACGCGTATGTTTATGAATATTGACTTTTCATTTTTCAAAAGTGGTATGGTATTCATATCAATGAATATTATAATAATTTTTCATTTGTTCTTTACTCTGCTTTAATTTTCCTTATTTTAATATTAGATTTTCTATATGCAATATTAACATGCCTAAAGTCTGAAATCGAAAAGTCTTTATCTGCAGTGAAAACCTGGGGAAAAAAATTGAGTTTAAAAATTCATTATTTTATTATATATTTAAAAAAATTTAAATAATATTTTTGAATATGTGTAAAATTTTAAATTTTCAAAAACGTCCAATTTAGTATTTAAATTTCTACTTGTTCTTAAGATAAAAAAAATAAATGGCTTATTTAAGAAACTGGCGAAAATGCCACCATAATGTTCTAGCTTTGGCAGAATCATCTTCTAGTATTGGAGAAGAGAAACTCGAGAGAAATGATGACAAATCAAAATTTACATAAAAAAATTAATCAGAAGTAGAAGATAACAAAAATTCAGAAAGGAAGTCAAGAATTTCTTTACGATTATTTGTCTCAAAGTGATGACGATGTTTGTCTCAAAGTGATGACGAAGTGTTTTTCTCAGAAGAAATTAAAAAAAACGATGTTTCACTTAATTATAAACTGGCAGTAAAACACGTCTGTTAACGTGAATGTGTAAACGAGTGTTAGCTAAACTGATAACAGAAGGGCATTGTCGGCCGAAAGATAAAGAACTTTGCTTCAGACTCTAAAATCATTGTCGAGTTTGTTACTGTCAAAAGCAAGTGTGGTGGTCAATACTATTAGTATTGACCACTAAGGTATTAGTATTAATTTAGACCTAAATAAAGGTAAACCGCCAATATTTACATCAATAAGTATTGTTTCATTTATAAAAATTGAAGAATCTTTGTTTGATGCTAAAACAGCTTTTAGTATACCAGTTTCAAAACAAAAGTAATAGTAATATTATTAGTTTGGACTTGAAACTGGTATACTAAAAGTTGTTTCTACATCAAACAAAGATTCTTGAATTTTTATAAATGAAGCCTATCTTATTTATGTAAATATTGATGGTTTACTTTTGTTTAGGTCTACATCAATGAACCTTTAGCCTATTTTATGTAAAATAGTAAATTCTAACCCTATTATTGTGGGATTATATTATATATGCATAAGTATTTATTAAAGTTACAATTAATCATAGCGGATACAATGCTTGTAAAAGATGTATTGTTAAAGGAGCTTGGAATGGAAGAGTTATTTATGAAAACCATTTTGTACAAGAATTATTAACTGATGAAAAATTTAATGAAATAAAATATAAGGCTCATCAAATCAGCAAATCGCCTTTAATTACAATAGGTGTAAAATTTTTTACTTTAGATTTAGACTACATGCGTTTTGGAGTTATAAGGAGTATTCTAAATTTTCTTAAAAATGGCCCGAGGTAGTATCGATTATCACAAATAAATACTATTTAAAATAGTTTGTAATTTTTATAAGGAAAATTTTCTTGTGAATTTGTTAGGCAACCATGCTCTTTAAGTGACCTTGACAAATCAAAAGCCACTGAGTATCGTTAATCTCTTATTTACTCTGGTGCAATTGTGCTTAAAGGTGTGTTAAGCAGTTCTCAATTTGGACATTTTCTTACATTATCAATAGTAATGAAAATTATTTCAGATGAAAATAAAGAAAAGAGATTATCTAATCTTGATTATGCACAAAAACTCATTATTTACTTTATTGAAAAAGCATCTGAGTTTAATAGCAACAATTTTTTTTATATAATGTACATGGTTTGCTGCATCTTCATGAAGATGTTAAATTTTTTGATAGTTTCCTCGATAAATTTTCTGCCAAGTTGATGTAAACGGTAAGAAGACAAGTTTTCCCTGTCAAAAGTTGTCCAAGAGGACATTTGTTTTTTGTCTTTTGAAGATATAGGTCATTATTTTATAAATTTATTTACTAAAGCATTATTTTATTGAGAAAAAAAATATTGTTTTACAACGTGTAATATTGGAAAAATCATTAACAAAATTTATTTTGGAAATTTTTTAATTTAAATTTTTTTTATAATGAAAGTTGTGAGTGAAAGTTGTGTCTTTTATTTAATTTTAATTTTTAAAAATTTCAAAAATATAGTATACGATGAGGATAAGAAAAAAGGAAACAAAGTACCAAATTAGATATCGGTGATAAGTTCCCGATGGCT